ACACTATTATAAATCATGTAAATAAGGTAAAAAAAGGGACATTCAAAAGGTTATGTTTGTTCGTTTCTATTATTTAAAATTTTGTTAATAAAGAGAGCATATATCAGTAAATATATTTCTTTCAATGCGGCATATATATACAATATATATACGTGTATATATGTAATATAAATATGTATTTGGTATGTATATGATGACAAACATTATAATAAATAATGAATAAAAAAAGGTGAACTTGAAAAACAAATTTATGAACATATGCTTGTTGGTGTTAATTATTTTTAAATGGTGTTTTTGAAGACAACATAATATAACAGTAAATTAATTTCTCTCAATGTAGAATATATAAATAAGAATATGATGGACATAAAGATTGAATAAACATTGATGAGTGCAATGATTCAATAACCCAGCATCAAACCGAGTAGAATTATAAGAAGTAGTGAGCGGATAAACCTTTAATTTAGCCTGCTTATCCCAGCTTATCCCGGCTGGTAGATTAACCGTGAAATTGGCTTGGTGCAATCAGCGCGCAATCAACCCTGGCTGGAATTCCTCCTTTCTCTGGCTCTTGACATTTGCTCTGTGTTCTCCCTGTTCTACATATGTACTTCCACATGACCCTATATCTCTGTCCTACATATGTACTTCCACATGACCCTATATCTCTGTCCTACATATGTACTTCCACATGTACCTATATCTCTGTCATATGTAATGTAGATTACTCCCCACGTCATCTCTCTCTAGACCTCCACTCCTTATCGTATGTTCTACGTATGCATTGTAGACCTCCACTACCTGACATCTCTGTCCTACATATGTAGTGTAGATTACTCCCCACGTCATCTCTCTCTAGACCTCCACTCCTTATCGTATGTCCTACGTATGCATTGTAGACCTCCACTACCTGACATCTCTGTCCTACATATGTAGTGTAGATTACTCTTCACGTCATCTCTGTCCTACATATGCACATGACCCTACATAACTGTCCCACATATGTAGTGTAGATTACTCTTCACGTCATCTCTGTCCTACATATGCACATGACCCTACATAACTGTCCCACATATGTAGTGTAGATTACTCTTCACGTCATCTCTGTCCTACATATGCACATGACCCTACATAACTGTCCCACATATGTAGTGTAGATTACTCTCTGCGTCGTTTCTCTCTACACCTCCACTCCTTATCGTATGTCCTACATATTTTCTGTATATTACACTCCGAAAATCACGACTCAAATCAAATCCTGCCTTCGCCACTTTTAATGGAAAATAAATCGCTTAAAATAATAGAAAAAAAGTGTCTAATGTGGGATTCGAACCCAGGTCCTGGCTGTCGAAAACAACGGGTTATACCACTCAACCACCGACCCTATGATTTTAAAGAACATATTCATATATATAAAATGTACACATTGTATAGGAATAACTTGAATTTACATTGATAATATATAAGACAAAATCATTTTCCTACTTTAAAAATGTTTCTATCCTGTTTAAATGTATTTCATTCTTTTTCAAATTGTGTGATAGATACTTCATAGTTTTATATAAAAGAGAAAAGGATTTTTTTTTCTAAAAAGTCATTACATATTTACTTATAAAGTTTCGGGATATATTCACATATATTAAAATATTAATAAGAGAATATTAAAAAACAACCATACGATATCATTTAATATATTTAAAAGGTATCATTTTCTATAATACGTACTTTATTAGAAAAAAGGATTTTTATATTTTTTAGTTTATTTTCATTTCAAATATTGGTATCGAATTTCATTTTTATCTTTTGGAATTCTTTCTTACTTTATTCTCGACTTGAATCATCCTGTCATCACGTCTGATATCAATGCTCGGGTTGAAGCCATTATTTATTTTGTGAAAATTACAATTATTAAGGATAATAACTTCAAAGACAACTCTTTCAACAAACAAAGAAAAGCGTTTTTTCACATTCTATCAGAAGTTACCATCTTCAAACGTGACAAACTTACAACTGGTGCAAAAAAACATGACTTCGATATAATCTCTACAGATGAAACAATTATCCTTTTTTAAGGCCTTCAAAATTGCGTTTTTAAATCAAGATAACAATTCTTGAGGACAAAAAATATTTTCTTTCTTCATATATTTGCAGACTTTCAGTAAGATGAGCAAAAATGGTTATATTTAAAACCTATTTTGGAATTCGAATTCTTTTACAATTATACTCATGGATAAAACTTAATGAAATTGTACCTTTTATCATGTATATTGGGATTTAGACAATAACTCTGAAAGATATACTCATGGACAAAACTTAAGGAATTTATTTTTTTCAGCATGTATATCGGGATTCAGACAATAACTCTGAAAGATATACTCATAGACAAAACTTAAGGAAGTTGTATATCGAGATTCAGACAATAACTCTGAAAGATACACTCATGGACAAAACTTATGGAAGTTGTACCTTTCAGCATGTATATCGAGATTCAGACAATAACTCTGAAAGATACACTAATAGACAAAACTTAAGGAAGTTTTACTTTTTAGCATGTATATCAGGATTCAGACAATAATTCTGAGAGATATTTGATACACAGTGACCTTTATTAAAGACACACGAGGTAACCAAGTGTGAACAAAATGCCCTCTGTCTCCTTCAAAAAATAAAGCAGACGATAAGGACATCAAGGACTCTCTACTTCCAAAAGTGTTGTCTATGAGTGTATATAAAAATACTTTCTTCTGAAATATTTTGTATTGGAAGGCTAAGAAGATGAAAACAAGATGATCCACTGTTTATAGAGAACAACCTTTTGATTACCATTACTACAAGGGGGGATCAATAAATAAGGTGAATTATCTTATTTCTTAAAAATTAAAAAATCAAAAATTATTTAAACCACAGAATATTAAAATATAACATCGAGAGACTATTTAAGGTGTTCTGTTCTTTTTTCCCACGCGCGGCGCGAGACTTATAAATAAACTAAAATGGAAGCTCCCTTTAAGGATTGCACCACGCTTGAACAACGTGCAGTTATTCGTTTCTTGAATGCAGAAAGTATTAAAACATCTCAAATATGCCAAAGAATGAAAAATATCTATGGTAAGTCTTGTTTGTCTCAAAAAAACATTTATAAATGGGTTAACGAGTTCAAAAATGGACGAATTACATGTACCGATATTGAGCGACCTGGACGACCAAGTGTTACAGCGACGCGAAGCACGAAAAATGCGGTTGAAAACTTAATTTTGGAGGATAGAAAAATATCCATTTTTACCATAGCCGACAATTTGAATATAAGCTTTATTGTGACATTCTATGCCCGGTCTAATCTAAAGCCCGGTATAAGAAACAAAAGAAGAGGGAAGCTCAGTAAGGATGTTCTCTTCCTTCATGATAATGCAAGGCCGCATACATCATGTAAAACTGTATCTACAATCATTAAATTAGGTTTTGAAGTTTTAGAACATCCTGCATATAGTCCAGACCTAGCCCCCTTTGACTATTTCCTTTTTGGACTACTAAAGAAGGAGTTAAAGGGAAAGCGATTTGACTCGGATGAAGATGTCCAGAAAGTGGTGCAAGATTTTTTTTCACACGCTTCCTAAGCGTGCCTATAAAGAGGGTATTTACAAGTTGCCAGAACGATGGAGACGATGTACAGAAAGCCAAGGTGATTATTTTGAATAAATCAAGTCCTAAATTTTAATATCGTTCTTATTTTTTTAAATAAATTATAATTCACCTTATTTATTGATCCCACCTTGTATATGGCGATAATATAAAATAACAAAAAAGAGATTCTTGTGTAGTACACGTTTATTCCGCTATCTTTCAAACGACATCGTTCTTCACCAGGTGTGAAGATAAAGCATAATGTATGACTGTTTGAAGTATAATATGTTAATTTTGTAATTATTCTTATTTTTTAATTCATAGAAGCATTTTTCTGGCAGACATATTCAATTTTTTTATCATCATCAGCATTTTTATTATTATTGTTTTTTTTTATATTAATTATCAAATCATTTTGTAATTGTAGTTTTTTTTAATTGTGTTCCCTTTTAAGCAATAAAATATATATAACTAAGGTGTAATATTCAATTCAAGCATATGGAAACAACATCGATTCATTTTTAAAACAAAGCAAAATTATAAGCTTATATAATTTTCACTATTTCATACAATGACAATATATAAAAGTACAATGAGAGCTATTATACGTCTATATATCATCATACATTATGCTTTATCTTCACGTCCGTTGAAGAACGATGTCATTTGAAAGCTAGAGGAATAAACATGTTCTACGCAAGCAGCTCCTTTTTGTTCTTTCATATTATCGCAATATATATACACTGTTTATTCTTCATTCTAGCATTAGAAGGAAATCGGATCCTCTTTCAAATTTGTGCGTAGTATGAATTGAGGGTTCTTAATATAGATGCTGTCTCTCTTTACCTTGAGAGACGACCTAGTGTAGTCCAGCTATTTGACCAGCTCGGCAACTCCAAGGAAGAAGCTCTAAGGACGACTATCAACCGTCCTAAACTTATCCAGAACTCATTTATATTGAAAAACACGGACAATTTATACATTAAAAGAAATTTACATACCAATTTATACATAAAAAAAATACATACTTTTTTCTCTTAGTTTTTAAATTACAAATATATTTACATAAAAATAAAGTTGACTACTCTAGTAGTTGTAACAGTATGCTTGTACGTAGCCATAGCCAATTAGGATGGTTGTTGAAGTGCCCTCATATTAGATTCTTTGTAGAATGGAGTTATAAGTACTTGGCGTGGCTATACATCTATTTATATTGCTGTTTGACTAACCGATAAGGTAGACGTCTAAGAGATTCTGTGTGAGCCAAGTTTTTTTTGTTGTTGTTGCAGGTAGACATGGCAGAAACTACTCTTAAACATGAGATGAAGAGGCATGTAGTTATTTTCTTTACGGCTCTAGGACATACCGATTCAGAAACTGCTGCATTCTTAAAAGTCGTCCGATTATTTGTTTTCAAAGATCGGAGAGAATTGGAAGATGCAAAGGAAGATGTGAAGGAAATTTCTCAAGGTAAACGACATTGTCATTTGCCAGTATCAGGACACTAGACTTTAAAGCTATGTCCAAGCTTCCATCGTTGAGGATCCTTGGAAAACGATATGGGCACTCTCCAGAGAGCTGCAGGTTGATGAGGCTACCATCCGACGTGTGGTTCATGAGGACCTCCGTTACAAATCATACGTGATGCAGCGAGGACAGTTCATGTTTGAAAGAACCGAGGTTAACCGCTTAACCAAAGCCAAGCGCCTTCTGAACGAGCTCAAACAACCATAGAAGCCAGGAATGATCTGTTTTTACTCAGACGAGAAGATAATCATCAATGTCACACATAACGTTTGTCCCCCAGCTCACCAGATGTCAATACATGTGGGGTGTAGTTGAGAGGGACTCCAATAGTCATTTCCATATCACAGCTCTCAGAGCTGATAAAGTGGATGCAATGTCAAACATTCCCAAGACCCGACTCAATGCTGCCTGCAGTCGGTTTTGATGACGTATAGAAGCTGTTTTTGCCGCTAATGGAGGGTTCATTGAATGATGTCATCCTTCAGGTGCATATGTTCATCTATATAAAACTTTAATATGTAAAAAATGTTCTTTTTATTCTTTCTCTATTCATTTTTTACATCAACATAATTTCGTTCTCAAATAGCTACCTCACCCTGTATATCGGGATTCGAACAATAACTCTGAAAGATATTTGATGCACAGCGATCTTTATTGTAGACCCACGAGATAACAAAGTGTGAAAAAAATTACCTTTATATCTTGGCTATATTAAAGACTTTCCATTTTCTTAAGTTTTTTAAATGATTGTATATACAGTTAAACCTGTCTATAGCGCCTCCCTCTCTATAGCGCCCGATTTTAAATACGTAGTACGATGTGATTTACATTAAAAGTGACCTGTCTATAGCACCCCCCTCTCTATAACACCCTATTTTGGTGAGTCCCAAGAGCGGGCGCTATAGACAGGCTTAACTGTATGTATATATATTATCAATAATATATTAATAATAAACTATTTTCTCCAATTATTTCACCGTAATAATTCATTATTAATATGATAATTTCAAAACTCCACACACAATCTAGTTTTATTTATATATCTTAAAAACTAGGTATTTATGGCGATTTCTTTTGTATATATTTTTCAATTGATTCATTATGCTCACGGAGTATGTATGTAAGATCACAGGTAAATAGGCACTAACCGTAAGAGGGGAAAGTTCCTTTGTTCTATTATTAGTTTCTCTTTTATAGTTTGTTCTCTCTTGTAAATCAATAAATTAAGGGTCAA